TCATTGTTGTTTGGCGGGTCCGGGCTGGGGATTCGAACCCCCCACCTTAGGTGTACGTGGCTGGCGCCTTAGCCAGTTGAGCTATAGGCGCCGAGCCCTATTATCCTCTTTTTACTATTGTTTGTTATTGCTTTTATCACAGGCCGCCTGACTAGTATCTCCTCACACATACCAGCCACTACATGGCTGCCCTCCCTCTCCAAGTTCCCAGCCAGCCCCTGGAAGCAGCAGGCAGTAAATTTTTCCTGTCTCCTCATAAACCGGGCCTTCCTCTGCTCAGCCATCACCTGGCTGGCAGTGCTGTCAAAAAGACAGATGCCACATCTGCCTTGTTTACGACTTTAATTCCCAAACCCTGCTATGCGGGTTCCTGGGAGGGGCCAGGAAGGGAGGAGAGAGGCAGCCACTGTTTTCCCCAGGGTTGACAGCTGCAGAGATGCCCCTTTCAAAGACTCTGATCTCACTCAGAATGGGAGGATCCATGGGCTATCTGCAAGTGCTTCTAGCAGGTCAGCTTCCACGTCTCTGGGAAACAGTGAGGCAGGCAGCACTTTCCTGGAGACAGGGCTCTTAGGAAGATGGGAGAGGGTAATGATTCCCATTTCACAGACAAGGAAACTAAAGCCTCAAGAAGTAAGGTGACATGCCCAAGGTGGCACCACTAGGAGGTGGTATCACCTGAATTCATACTCAGGTCTGCAGGATTCTAACAGCTATGTGCCTGAGAAAGAATGAGTGCCCCACCCCCTACCTTTACCACTTCAACACACACCTGTCCAAGTGCCAGTTACAAGCATCTGCCACCCACCCAAGTCTTCTGGCACAGGAGCCCTCTTTGCCCTCCAGAACATCCTCCCCCAACCAATGACTGACGAGGGTGGTGTATGCACATTCCAGTTCCTGTCCACCTGCAGTTGGGTGACTAAGGCCTGTTCCTCACTATCCCCAAAGTCCCCAGGAGAATTAAGCTGAAGTTCACAGCGGTAACCTGCTTGACGTCATACCTTTTATTGCTGCCTTCTCTCCTCTTTCCTGAGATCCCCTCCCAAATAAACTTGCTCTCAAATCTTGTTTCCAGGGGAATCCAGCTTCAGATAGCCTTGATGGTTGGATCAAATCTCCCCAAGTGTAAGACCACAAGAAGAGATGGTCCTTCTCACCCTCTTCGAGGGTCACTGGGTCCCTTTCTCAATTGAATAGAAAGGAACGGCTTTGGGAAAGCAAAGAACACGGGAGTGGCACTTGCTTACTGTGAGACCTTGAGCAGGGCAAGCAGGGCCCATGGGACTGAAACAGGCAGAGGCCAACTATTAGCATGGAGGAGAGTGGAGGGGGCCGATGCTGGATGAGGAGAGTGGGAAGCCAGGCTCTGGGGACAGTGGGGGTAGGAGGAGAACACAAGTTGTCAGAGACTGCAGAGCACGCCTAGGCAGTGGAAGGCAAGAGAGAAGGGGCCTGGACGAGTGGGAGGGGAGGGAGAGAGAGGCTAGGCGGGGGCAGGCAGGGCCAGGCTGCCTGGGTGTGAGTCCAGCTCTACCTATTCTCTAGCACGGTGATGTTTGCAAGTTGCCTCGGTTTCCTTCTCTGTAAAATGGGAGCTGCACCTGTGACCTCTATACTACCCACTCTCAGGCATGCTCCCTTCCCCCAAATCCTACAGCAGACAGAATTGGTACTGAAGACTTGGGCCGCTAAATTACCCAACAGGTAGTTGGGTAATCTTTCCCACTTCCTCTCTATGGCAACAGTGGCAACCATCTCCTTGGCACCTATCGAACACACCCGTTTTCACCCAGCTTTTTCATATGCTGTATCTCTAATCACTCAGGGAGATGGGTATTGCCTTCCCTGTTCTATAGATAACCAACTGAGACTCAGAGAAGTTAAATAACTTTTCCAAGGTCACACAGAAGGGAAGAGGCAGAGTCGGTTTTAGACCCAGGGGTCAGCCCTTCTCCTGTCCCTCCTCCCAGTCCTCTGGCCTAAGGCCTTCTCCCCAGGGACAGGTTCATCTCAAACCTGGGTGGGATTGTGGGGAAGCCAGAGCTGCTGCCCCCTCCCCTGGGGTCTCAGTTCCCACAAACATTCCCAGCAGCCACCCTGCCCTTCACCTCACCCGGAGAGGGACGGGTGCACTGCACCTAACTTGGGGCCAAACAAGGACTCTGACCAGTCTCTGCTGGGGTTTCCAGTGCAGCAGGATGGATTCGGGTTAGCTGTGAGGTGCCGTCCTTCTACTCCTCCCCGAGGGTATACCCCATGCCATTTAGGGCTCTGTCCCTTTGCTCATGCCCCCCCATGCCAGGAGCATGTGCCACCCTCCCTCCCATCAGTCACCTCTCCCTCTGAGTCAGAGGCTAGCAAACTTTGCTATACAGTAGAATCACCTAGGGCACTTTCAAGAAATCCTGACGCTCCTTAGGTTGCACCCAGTGCAAATTAAGTCAGAATGTGTAGGGGTGGGAGTCAGATTCCTAGGTGATTCCATGTGAACAAAGCTTAGGGACTACTGCTCTGGCCCTACGAACACATTAAAGTCATCTGGGGAGCTTTAAAAACATCTACCCCAGGCCCCACCAGTGAGGTTCTGATTTAGTTAGTCTTGGTCTGGGTCCTAGTATAGTTCTAATAGCTCAGCAGGTGACTCTCATGCACAGCAAGGCTCAGAGCCACCACTCACAGTTCATAAAGTGCCTCCTTCACACACTTTCCCTGCCTCTGGAGACATCCTCTGGGCTGGCTATCAGTCCCGTTTCTCAGATGAGAAAGCAAAGTCCAAGAGAGGTCACAGAGCTTGTCTTAGGCTCACAGCAAAGCTGGCTCTTCTGAAACTTGCTCTGACCATCAGACCAAATCCTTCCTTAGGACTGCTAGAGAGGTTCATAAGTCCTGTCCAAGGACCGGTGGTCTGGATGAAGCCTGCAGGAACTGACCAAGGCCTTCCCCCTCCTGCCCCACCAGAAAGACCTTCACCCTTGATAGCCTAGACACTGAGTCCAGGAGACCCTGGTTGTCCATCTTGCCCCACTTCTAGTCTTACCCTTCCTCTCTCAATCCCCATCCCTAAGCCAGGTCTGGTAACCTATCAACAGGGTGCCCAGGCAACTTATCATCCCTATATGGGCTCTTTTGAGAATAAGAGGGGATGTTCTCAATAATTACACCAGAATAGGGAAGGACAGGATTCACGGTCACCCTGCCCATGAGGGCTCAGCCTCCATGCCCAGACATGTTTGCACTTTTAACATCTCTGTTGTGATTGCTGCCTGATCCAGGCCTGTGCTGTGCAGCCTTGGGCAAGTTACTTAGTCTCTCTGACTCTCCATGGGGAATCATAAGAGTTCCTAGAGGTGTTGTGAGAGCGAAATGAGATAATGTCTTTAAAGTGTCTAGAACATGGCAGATACATATTAAACAATGGTATTTATGTTTAATTCACCCAGGACCATGTAATCCCCTACATAACACATTCACATGCTCTCCTTTTCTCTTGGGCACACTGCTGAACGTACAGTCACACACAGGTGTGCTGCACACACACTGCCACTTGGACACCCCAGCACACTGTGAAGATCAGGCTCGGTGGGTTTGGCTGTGAGCTTGCCTAGCTCCCCAGGGGATACCCACTGTCCAAGAACTCGTCCCTATGGGCTCCTGCCACCAGAGGGCAGCATGCTGCCCTCCCGCCCACCTTCTCACTCTCCCTTCTCTCCTGGTCCTAATAGTCTTGTCAGATTCCACACAGTGTGTCCCTGCTCTAGCAGCCCTTTGCCCAGAATATACTGATCAAGTCTGGGAAGATACAGGAGAGAATTCATTGTCCTCAATTAGGTACCACCAGGTTGAGAGACACCAGAGCCCCCCAGTGTCACTGAGGCCAGGTCCTTCCACAGAGCTACCCAGACCCAGCATGCACAAGGACCCATGTCTAAGTGAATCTAAAGTGGACACACCAAGATGGCTACCTAGGAATGAGGGCCTAGAGCTCAGACCTGGATTCAAGTCATGCTCTACCATCTTCCATCTGTGAAAGGGTGCCTTTGCTTAACTCCTCTGAGCCTCCATTTTTCCATCTGCAAAATGAACCAATGATTACCCTCCTTATGTGGTTCACTCCTCTCCTCTTCAAAGCTCAAATGTTACCTTTGCAGAAAAGCCATCCCTGGCCACTTCAAATGCGCAGTTTCCACCCTCCTCCTTCCCCATTCTTTTGCTTATCTGTTGGGTTCTACTGCACATTTCCCTTGTGACATATCCTATCATTTACTTATCCTGTCTGTCATCTGTCTCTCCATTAGAATAAAAACTCCAAGACTCTCTTGACTCTCATTCACTGATGTATCCACCAGGCTTATAACAGGCCCACACAAGTCCTAGGAGCCAAACTGGTGTTTGCTGAGTGACTGAGGGAACTCTCAGGGCTAAAGGTGGTTTCTATAAACTGCCCAGAGTGGTATGTGTGTGTCAGGACTAGACACAGGGCAGGTAGGGTCAGTTAAGTTCTGTGAGCTTACCCTAGGAATACACTCAAGGCAGTCAGAGGCCAGATGGCACTCCCCCCAAAGACACTCAGTGTGGCACTCTAAATAGCTCCCAACTCTGCCCCCCACCAGCTCATCTCCACTCCCATCACTACAGGCTCCCGGAAACTCCTGCGCCCTGCACCGCCCCAGGTCCCCTGTCTTCCAGAGCCCCACCCCATCAGGGCCTGCCCATCGGCCTCGCCTCTGAATGCTCACTTGTGCACTTCTTGACGTGACTTCCCTTCTTGAGAGCGTGGCGGCTCAGCTTGCAGTGGAAGTTGTCCTCCCAGAACTCAGCAAACCAGATGTTGCGCCGGTTGTTGTCCAGAGTGCGGCTGGAAAAGTAGCGGTCAAAGCCTAGCAGGAAACCGAGATGTCAGGGCCTCATGCTGAACCTACACCTTCCCCAGCAGCTCCCAGTCCTTCTCACTTCTTCCAGGCTTAGAGATGGCCCAGGCTGAGGCAGGAGAGGGAGGGAAGCATATATCCAATCCAGGGCCCAGGCAGAAAAAACAAAATGTAGAGCATTTCATTTCATTCGAAATGAAAAGAGCTGTATTAAGTCCCAGGGGGAGTATGTGTAATGCACAGCCGCTGCCTCTCTGGAATGGAAGTGCACCAAAGAGGGTGTTTCTCCTGCTTTAACCGCGGAAATGCTAATTTAATATCGGGACTCTTTGAGAAGGAGCCACCTGGGAGTCCTAAGGTTAGAGCAGAGAAGCTGGTGGGCTTGCCCAACCCTGGGAGTGCGTGACCAGAGAAGGTAGGGGATCACCTGATCACCTAGGTCTCACAGCAAGGCCAGGACCTGGACCTTCTTTTTTCAAGTCCAGACAGTCCCCATCACTGACAGATGCAGCCTGCCTCCTCCACATGCTCAGGCTCTCAGTCCAGGAAACTCTGTCCCAGGATGAGCAGCCTGGGTGGAAACAATGCCCTCTGCCTCCTCCCAGATACCCTGACTGTTCTGTGCAGAGTTAACTCAGTTAACTGAAGCTGCTTGGGATGGGCCAGAAGGACTAAAAGCTCAGTGGGGGCCACAGGAAGCCTCCTGTCCAAGGAAGGGTCTAAGTGCAAGTTGAATGACTGTCAGAGCTGTAGGAGAAATGCTGGCATGGGGCAGGGGCAGGGCCTACTGCAGAATTTCTTGGTGGCCAGGTGATTCCTTGTCATGGGGGCTGTCCTGTGCACTGCAAGGTGTGGAGCAGTATCCCTAAACTCCACCCCCAGGTGCCAGCAGCAGCATTTCCCGATCATGACAACCAAAAATGTTTCCAGACAATGCTAAATGTCCTTCGAGAGGGCAAAATCACCCCAGATAAGACCCAGTTCTAAAAGCTTCCCTAATGTCCCAGAGAGAAAAGGTATTCATCAGACAAGTGCTGGACCCAAATCCCACTCTACCACTCACTGCACTATATGTCACTAATCTTTCTGAGCCTCAGGGTACCCATCTACTAAATGTGCCAAGAGTGAATCACAGGTTTCTAGGAAAACTAAGTGGAGTTATCTGCATAGGGCCTAGAATTTGTGGGCACAAATAAGCCATTGTTCTTATTATTTGGGGTTTATTATGTTTGGGGGTTTCGGGGGAGGTGTGGAAACTTCTGCAACCTGTGCTCCCTTTGCCTCAGGGTGAAGAGAGGACACTGCTGTGTGACCTTGAGTGAGTCCTTCCCCTTCTCGGTCCTGTCACTTGGAAAGTTCATTGGCAAGGCAGATGTCTGTGGTCCCTTCCAGCTCCATCAACAGTGGATTCTATTGAACAGAGGGAGGCCTAGGGAACCTGGCTCCCCCTGCTGAGGACTGCAAGGTCCCTGCCAAATCAGGCCATTAACAGGAACTTCACACCTCAGTCCCAGTGAGGTTCTGGCCACAGCAGTTTGTTCCTGCCCACGATGACTGTGGGTCTGCCAGAGAAGAGAAGATTCAGGGCAGGGCAGCCCCAACCTCAACTCCATCCCCTGGGCCTGCCAGGCAGGCTTTACCTGGTGGCCCAGTCCAGTCCCTCACACAGCACCTCCCTTGTAGCTTGTTGGCAGCTCCCAGCCCTCTTCGGCAGAGGACTCTCACCAGATAGGGTGAGTCCTGTGTATGCCCTACACCACCCACACCCAAAAATATCTGAGAAAGGAGGAAGAAAGGACCTGAATCTGGATTCAAATTCTGCTATGTTGAGTGCCTGAAAGGCCTCCCAGAGCGCACAAGGCTATAGGCCTAGGGAGAAAGGGAAGATCCAGGAAGAGGAGGTGCAGGAGAGGGAGAGAGGAAGTAGAGGAGGAACAAGAGAAGGCATGTCCAGGGCTGACAGTAGATAGGTGAGCGTGGTGATCTTGCTGCCCTGTCCTGCCAGGCCTACCTCGCACGGACATCCTCTTGGGGAGAATAGTGACAGCACCCTCAGCCACCTCCTCCAGGTGCAGCACGGGTGCAATCTTGGAGCCCCAGCTGTCAGAGCCCATCCAGAAGAAGTGGCCTGTCTGATTGGCTCTCCGCGCTGCCTCCAGCACACGCCTGTGGGAACACACACCAGCCCAGCCCAGCCGTGTCTGTCCACACAATTGCCCCGACCCCTGGTCATACCTGCTGTGGGCCCACGTGTCCCTTAGGCTCTGCCTGTACCGCCCAGCCCCGATCCCCATGAGCTGAGGGCCTACAGCTGCCCCAGCACCCTGCCCATACCCCTGGCCATGGCTCCTCCCACCTTAGCCTGCACGTGCCCATAGGCCCACACCTGCCCCCAGGTCCCTGCAAACACCACACCTGTCTCCCCACATCCACACCTGAAGTTCCATCTAACTCAGGCCCAGGAACTATATCTGCCTGGCCCTTGTCCTCTCAGACTCGTGCCTTCCTGGCCCCACACTCATCCCATACCCCTTAGCCTGTCCTCACATTAACTGTCACAAACACTGCTCTGTCCCTGATTCCTCTGCACGTTACCGCCCTGTCAACAGTGTCCTCTGCATCCATCCCTTCCTGTGCTAGGAGTTCAAGTCCATCCAAGAGCTTCTCCCCACACCCTGATGTGGATGATGGATGGTGAATGGGTAAGGGTACCGGGCTGCCAGGGATTCACACCCACCCCAGGCCTACTGCAATAGTGGTCTTAACCAAACCAGGTGCAAAGAGCCTATAGTAGGTGCTTAATCAGTGCTTACTAGGAGAATGAATTGAGGGGCCCCTCAAAGACATCTCCTCGGAGAGGAAAGCAAGGAGGAATGGGCAGAATTCCCTAACCCAGCTCCTCTCACAGAGAGACGAGAGCAGAGAGGAGGCAAGTAATTTGCTCAAGAACACACAGCAAGAGAGAGGCTGTGATACTAGAAACTGTCCAGGCCCTGCCCATTAGTGAGGACTAGGACACAGACTACAGGAGTTGGAGGTGGCTGCTGGGCCTATACAGAAGTGGCCAGCTAGGGCAGGAGGACTTGGGGCTTCCAGACAGAAACAAACATTTCCAGGCCCCAGAGCCTGCACCTGGGACTGGGGCCCACTTGAGCTGGCCTCATATCCATCCTTGACCCATCCTAGCCCTTCTCTATCATCTCCTGACTCCCCATTGTCCCAGCCCTCCTCACCAGTGCAGTCCCCCTACCTCAGGTCACCGCTAATGATAGGTGGGGCTGCTCTCAGAACCCCCATCTTCAGCTTGCATCCAGCCAGCCCCGGATGACCAGAGGTCTTAATCCGCTATCTCTGCAAAGTCACCTGGGTTACCCTTACTTCTGTTTGCTTCCAAAATGCAAGTGAACTCCCAGAAATGGCCATGCCTCCTACCTCACTTCCTACAGCCCACTCAGGAAGTCAATCTAGCCCCATCCCACCCTTCCCTGGGTGCCTCTTCTCTTGGACAGAGGGCCTGAGGCTTTCATTCTCCCTCCCAGCATGTGGGTCCATCTGAGCTGAAGTTGTCCCCCAAAGCAGCAGGCCTAGAGTGGGATACACAGCCTGGTAAGATGTGGGAACTGAATCATGCCAGCTTTGGGGTGGGAATAGGGCAGGAGTCAGGAAGCAAGGACAGGTGGCTCAGAGGGGCTCCTCCTGCCCCCAGAGCTGGCTAGCCCTGTGGGCATTGAGGACATTCAGAGTCAAAATTTAGGGAAGCTGTATGCCTTAAGGGGTAGAAGCTGCATCTGTGCACAGCTGGGAGGCTGTCAGGACAGGGCTCTGAGGACCCACCCCTCCCACCAGCCTCTCACTGCCTGAGACACCACAGTTATAGTTGGTCCTTTTGTTTTTGGAGGCCTTAGTGATCTTCCAGAATTCCCTCTTCTATCCCTTCAGTCCCTGGGGGGTTATATGCTTTGCTGTGACTCTGGAGTCCAGGATAGGGTTTCACCAAGTAAAAAAAACAGTTTGAAAGAATGGGACTCAGGGTGAGGCTGCTATGGAGTGGGAGGGAACCATACAGGGAAGAGGCAGGACAGGGGTGGGTGGTTGGGCAGCCTGGGTTGGGCCAGTGAGTGGGGGAGTCTTAGAGCACAGTGGGCCAGGAATCTGAGGGAGGAAGCCCAGGGGGCCATATATGGTAGGGCTCCCTGAGGACAGGGCTGTGTCTCCCCTCAGACCAGGGCTTCCCAAGGGCAGAGCTGTATCTCTCCCTCAGACTGGGAAATCTTTGAGACCTGACCCATCTTTTCTCTGACAGCCAGTCTCAGGGAGGTGGAAACAAAGGAAAATTAGGAGGAAGGGAAGTTGGTTAGGAGGAGCATTCAGGGTGCAGGAGATTCAGAGTATCTATTAAGATGTTCCAAGCATCTGACTTGTGACCCAGGCCCCAGGGGCAGACAAGCAAACAGGGGCTGGCCCAGGGTTTCTGATCTACATGGTGCTGACACCCAGAGTCTAACTGTTCCCATTCTGCAGATGAAGTGACTAAGGCCAGGGGAGAGGAAAGGTGTGCCCAAGCCAGGACTAGAACCACAGCCAAATGGTTTTTCTGTACTCTAAGCTCACCACAGATAAGAGGGAGCAACTGAGAAGTGGCCAGCATTTACTAAACACCTACTTCATGCCTGTTGCTACTCTAAGCTCTTTAAGCACATTCCTGCATTCACTTCTCAAACACTATCTGGCAGGCTTCCTTAGTGCTTTTGTTTTCATTTAAGAGGCCCAGATAGGTTAAGAAACTTACCTGAAGTCACACAGCTAGTAGGTAGAAAAGGATTAAAACCTAGGTGGTCTGGGCCCAAGCCCATGGCCTTAGCACCTCCTCTAAAACACTCTGCTGGCCATCCCTGGCAGGTGGAATGGATGCAGGAAATGGAGAGGGGGAGGGAAGGATGCCCTGTTAGCAACAGCCTGTGCCCACGCCTGTGGGGTCTTCCTGCTTATACACACTCACCCACCCCTACCCCTCTGGATCCCAGGGTAGGCTCAGGCTAGCCTAGGACAGTTTCCAGCAGGACAGAACCCATGGCTCGCCCCCATGCCTGCTCGGCTCTCAGTGCCAGCCCGCTGGCACCTGCCCTCACCTGATGTCATCCTCGTTGGCAAAGATGATAACTGCCCTGGCATTTGAGGTCTCCAGGAGGCGACGGATGATCTTGTCAAACTCCCCCGTCCTGGGCTCCCGTGGTATCTTCACCGACTGGGCGATGCATACGCCCCCTGCAGGAGGGCACCAGTTAGCCTGAAGCGCCACACCATACCCTCACCCACACACTCCAGGGGACAGAGCCTGGGAGTTGCCAAGGTCCACAGCCAGACCCCTAGTCTCTAGATATGGGCCGAGCAGTCACAATAGCCATAGCAACAGTCTTGATTCATCTCATTACCTAGGGACCCTGAACATGTCACCTAAGTACTCTGTGCCTCAGTTTCCCCATATAGCAGCTAGAGGAGGCAAGAAGCAATACAGCATCATGCCTAGGAACTAGGCTTCAGGTTCAAATCTCAGCCCTGCCACTTACTGCTATGTAACCTCAGGCTGGTTACTGAGCCTCTTTGGGCCACAAACATATAATAACCTCTAAGTCAGTGGCTCTCAATCTTCCTAATGCCACGACTCTTTAATACAGTTCCTGTAGGTTGTAACAGGTTGAGAACTGCTGCTCTAAGTGGAGATAATAATACTACCAACTTTATAGGATTGTTATAAAAATAAGTGAACTGGGCTAGGCACTATGGTTCACGCCTGTAACTCTGGAAGGCCAAGGATCACTTGAGCTCAGAAGTTCAAGACCCCCTCTACTAGAAATAGAAAAAGTGAGCCAGGCTCAGCACCTGTGGCTCAAGTGGCTAAGGCGCCAGCCACATACACCTGAGCTGGAGGGCTCGAATCCTGCCCAGTCCCACCAAACAACAATGATGGCTGCAACTAAAAAAAATAGCCGGGTGTTGTGGCGGGTGCCTGTGGTCCCAGCTACTTGGGAGGTGGAGGCAGGAGACTCACTTGAGCCCAGGAGTTGGAGGTTGCTGTGAGCTGTGATGCCATGGCACTCTACCCAGGGTGACAACTTGAGGCTCTGTCTCAAAAAAAAAAAAAAAGAAAAGAAAAAATCAGCCAAAGGTGGTGGCACATGGCTGTGGTCCTAGCTACTCGGGAGGCTGAGGCAGGAGGATTGCTTGAGCTCAGAAGTTCAAGGTTGGAGTACGCTCCTGATCAAGCTGCTACACTCTAGCCTGGGGAAACACAGTGAGACTCTGTTTCAAAAAAAGAAAAAGTGAACTATTGCTTATAAATACAATACTGTTTAGTACATAGTGTCTAGTAAATGTTGATTATTTTTACTGTAACTACCTTTTAACATTTTTTAGAAGATTAAATCTGAAAATGAGGGCCTACCCTGGGCCATTAGTGCCCCCACACCCAAATCCATACACCTCTCAGTGCTCCAGTCCCGGGCCCCATGATCATTGGTAAAAGCCCTTAGTAAGAGCAGCATATCTGGCTGCTGGCCTCTAGAGACCCTGGGAGCACTCTGTACTTCACCTGGCCCATTCTCAGCCTCAGATGTCTCTCAAATGCTGGCAGGGAACAGGCGTCATTTGGGTTTAAACAGGCGTCATTTAAATCCCACCTGACCTCCCCATAAGCCACTGCTTGTATCATCCACAGCATTTGACAGATGAGGAGCCTACAGCTCAGAAAAAGAAGTGGCTTGCCCAAAAACCACCCAGTTTTCTGCCCTACTGGGGTCCAGGAGCTGGGCACCCCAGAGCATAAGACCCCTGAGGCCCTCAGTGGCATAGTCAGGCCTCAGCTGATAGAAAAGCTTGAGAGATTAATCTTTATGAAGCCAGACCCTTTATCTAACTACCACCCTCTTCTGGGACCCATTGAAAATAGGATCCAACCAATGCCTCGAACCAGCCACCTCAGCTGAGCACCCAGCTGCCACCCCTGCTACTCTAAAAAGGCCTCTCTGTCCAGGCAGGGGCCACCTGAACCTTCTACACAGATTCACCCCCATACACAAGGCAATTGTCAGGGGTGGGCCTGGGCTGCCAGGGCTCAGAGTGCAGGGAGAATGGACCTACCACCGGCCCCACAGGGAGAGTGCCAGCACAGCTCCACCCATGAAGTGGCCCCTACCCCATGGGAGGTGGCAACCAGAGAAGGCTGCCCAGAGGCAGTGACACTGAGCTGCATACTTAGAGGGTGCTAGCAGCCAGGTGGGGCATTCTGGGGGGAACAGGTACACCCACTAGAAGCAGAGGTTGCTCTGTGCCAGGTGCCCTGCCAGGCTCTGGACCACAGGACACACACACAGCTCCTCAGGTCTTTTCCAAGACACCCAAGAAGAGCCAAGTACCAGAGAACAGCGTGGTTCCCAGTATCTCATAGGGAAAGGAGAGAAGAATCAAGGGTGTGTGGGCAGGACTAGGGCCCTCTCCAGCTCCAGGTCGTGGAGAGCCAGGGGAGGCAACCTGGTGGCCACAGGGCTGGCCAGGCAGGCACTCAGCTCCCTCCATATGGTTTCTTTCCAGTCAGAAAGTGGGCCAATTGCAACATTTCTCCCCCCATCTGGGGAGACAGATGGACAAAAGGAAGAGGCTGGACTGGGAGGGGGAGGGAGAGGCTGAGCCACCTGGCTCTGGGTGGGGGCAGAGCAGGGGACAGAAATTAATTGCTCTCAACAGGGAGAAATTGTCAGGTTAAGTAATATTTTTCAGCAAGGATCTGTGTGCCCATCCTGCCTGGCACCTCAGGGCACATCCTGCATGCTTCACTTTGCTGGTGAAGGAAGGATTAGGTGACCACTGCTCAGTCAGCAAGAATGCCAGTGAGTCACAGAGTGCAGTCGGAGGACCGTTTGATGTTCTTGGAACCACAAAAGATGGGAAGGCTGAGGGGCATGGAGGGTGTGCAGAGCACCATGGCACTGAGAAACCCATGTGGAGTGTGCAATGCATACCGAACGCCATTCTGCAAACTTCACATGGATTCACTCACCTGAGGTTGCTGTCATCACCACAGGCCCAACTTATAGATGAAGAAACTGAGGCACAGAGAAATTAAGTGGCCTCTCCAAGGTCACAAAGATAGGGCCAAAGCTGGGATTTAAACTTGGGCCAGCTGGCTCCAATGGCCACCTTTCAGCCAGTCATGTGGGGAAGGGAGTGGGTCATGGAGTCAAGGGCTGTTGAGGGCTGTGAGCACATATGCAGCACAGTACCTTCCCTGAGGGGAATGTCCATTGATGTTACTGTCCCCAGGATGAGAAACCAAGTGCCCACAGAGTCCCTTTGCTTCATAGCCCAATTGTCAGCATCACTACTCAGAGGAGTGGGGAACAAGGGGCTAGCTCACCACCAGGAGCTCTCCTGGGGTGGCAAAAGCTCCTAGCAGTCCCACAACCTCTGCATCAACTGCTCTCCCAGCCTCTGCCTCAGCTAGAGAGGACTGGAGTGGCCTATAAGGGACCAGCACTTCCAAGAATCCATTGCATGCCTGGGTGAATCTTCACATACCCTCGGGGCAGGTGCTAATAGCCTAGCCCAATAGCAGTCAATGAACTGCAATTCTGGTCTGTATCCAGAGCCTGTCCAGGCAGAGAGGACCCCATCTCCTGTAGCCCTTGCCTACCCAGGAAAGTTCCCTTTCCTATCACCCTTCAGCTGCAAAGCAATTACTCCACAGCCAAGCCAAGACTAAAAGTACAGTGTTTCAATCACCAGGGCCTCTTCTGGAGCCTGTTATTTGGGTGGGTTGGTGCACATGTGTGTACACACACTATCATGAAATGCACACACTCGCACATACCAACTACACAATCTCCACATCCCACCTTTGCACACCCTGGCCTACACTGCTACCAACCCCAAGCCATATATTGAGCCCTCTGGCCTTCCTCGTGTCCAGTCCCTGCTGCTGTCACTACAGAGACAAGGACTAACACTCTCTGGGATCCTCTCTTCATAATTCTTTACCAAGGAGGGGTACATCTCCCCACCCCCACACCCTGCCTCTGTCTCTCTTACTTAGTAAAATAAGAATCCACGAGTCCATACTGAGAGTACTGCAATCAAATTAAAGCCCACTCCCAGCCTATCTCCCAGGCTCCAGGCACAGGGCCATAGGGGAGGGGGTGCACATGGAGAAGTCTAGGGTTCCTCATACCCCACTTAGGCTCTCCTGGGTCCCCCTTGGCGAGCCACTTACACCACTTTCCAGCCACCCAGGCTTCTGACAAACACCAGCTGCCATGTGCCAGCTGCAAGCCCTGCCATCCCAGCCAAGCTGGTGCCTCTGCTGGGCCAGGGGCAGGAAGCCACAGCCACTTGCCAAGAACATCTGAGCATATCTAGGCAATGGGGATCTTGGAGACCTTGGTCCAAGCCGTATGTAGAGTAAAGAGAGAGAGAGGCCAGAGAGGGGCAGTGTCTTGTCCAGGAGCCCACAGCAGTGGGGGCAGAGCCTACCTGCAGCGAGGTTCTCACCACCACACTGGGAGGTTTAGAAGCCAGCCTACCTCTGCCCCACACATTCCCCCTTTCCCTGTGCCACCCCATCCACCAAAACCAACTAATTGGCCAGGCAGAGTGGCTGACACCTATAATCCCAGCACTTTGAGAGGCTGAGGTGGGAGGACTGCTTGAGGCCAGGAATTCAAGAACATATCTCTACAAATAAAATTAAAATTAGTTGAGCTAGGTAGGGCACATTTGTAATCTCAGCTGTTTGGGAGGCTGAGGCAGGAGGATCGCTTGAGCAGGGCACCAGCCACATACATCATCGCTTTGAGCTATGATTTTGTCACTGCACTCCAACCTGAGCAACAAAAGGAGGCCCTGTCTCAAAAAACAAAACAAACAAACAAAAAACCTACAAGAAACTGCCTCATCCTCAGCCCCATCCCTCAGGGCCTGCCTCTGCTATCATAAACCTGCACACCTGACCAAGGAGTGCCCGTTAGAGCGCAGCAGAGAAGCGCACAGCAGTGTCTAGTGCAGAGGCGTGTGCCAGTTGCCTCCAAGCCAGCACTCCCTCTTCCACATTCCTTCCCAGGGAAACTGCACGTGGGCACGGGAGACCCACACAGACGTCCACCACAGCACTGTTTGAAACTGCAAAAAACGGAAACAGCCTAAATATTTTACAACAGAAGAAAGGATAAACTGTGGTGTGTTCATCCAATGGGATATTATGTAGTTAAGATTAATAA